TGTCATTAAGTTTGGTCATTTTCCTCTGTCCTTGATTCTCAATGACCTTTGGAAAATCAGAACTTAGATGCAGTTTCCTTCTCTGTAAAAATGTTAGAGATCTCAGTGATAAAATATCCTAAAAGATTTAATGAAAAAGAATGGTACGTGAGAGCTGAGTTACTTTCCAGTATTTTATTTATATGTACACACAGGCATTTGCTAAGAGTTGCTATCTGTAACTCTGTAATAGTGAGAGTAATAGCAAGAATTATCACCTGTGATGATATTGGGAATAGAAGATTTCCATGCCAGTGCCCAAAAGATTATGAGCATATTTTTTATTTGTCTTCAAATTTGTCCCTTCACATTTTTTCACTGTAATATTTGAATAGTCCATTTTGTCATTTTGGTCTTTTCTTCTTATTTTTCTCACAGTTTTTTTTTATTGTCCTCATAATTTTGCCCTCATCTGTCCACAGTCATCCATATAGCATACATGTTCACTTCTCAATGGTCTTTCCTTTATATCTTTGCCAATAGTCTTCTGTACTTAAATACTTTCGTTTCTGCTAGATTCCTGCTCAGGAATCCTCCATTTCTCTTCTTTATATTCAGCGTCTGCTGCTCTTCTTTTCTGCCTGCATTTTCATGTACCTATATAGTGATACTGGATCATTCACTCTTTTGTAGATTTACACCAAAGGATGGAAGGAGGAGGTTATGCTTTCCTGCTCAGATTTGAATACTGGGCCTTCTTTGGGTATAGGCCCAGGAAGGCTCACATGGACAAAATTTTGCAGGATTTTCTTACTTATATGGGACAAGGTAGCTGAACTGAAGTGTTTGGGGCTTGTAGACACTGTAACAGAAATAAAGGATTAAACAGAAATGGAAGACTGTTCTTATTATTGTTAATAACACTTGCTGTCATCTTTTGGATTTAGCAGTTTAAGATCTGAGAATTTTTTCTTTTGGGATGAGAGACATGACAGATGTTAATATTACTGCCTAGTTCACAGATACGGTGTCACTTACTACCAACCGGGAATTACATTTCAAGTCAAGTCCTTGAACATATCCTCAGGTTTTTAAGGTATTATTCCTGGATAAAATTGTTGTGTAATTGTTATCTTCTCATTTGTTGTATCTTAAAATGTTATTCTCCTTAAAACTGTCACGTCTTTGAAATTGCTTTCTCTTTCTGTTCATAAGTACTTGTGCTGAAAAGTGCTTATGGGAGTGTTGCACTTCTTTAATGACTTCAATGAGATTTCTAGGTGACCACTCAGACTTTAATTTGTTGTGGCAGTATTAGTGCTGAAGGAAAAAAGAGCAACCCGCAAAGTAAAACAGGACTTTGACTGTTCTTTTGCAATGGAGCTTAATAACACAGGCTGTATACGTTACATAGCACCTGGCCTTGTACCTCCTCTGGACACTGTGTAGCACCCAATGGAGTTCAGATTTCATTATTATGTTTTTTTTCTTTTCCGATTTTATGAAATCATGTGAAAGTTGTATTGCAGCCCAAGAAAACGTGTTGTCATGGCTCAAAAGGAAGTTATGTGCTGTACAGTGTGTATCATGAGGCTGTTTAAGGATGCTTAAGGATCTGCAGGCTGTTGGAATAATGTTGAAGCACTGTGTGAAACGTAAGAAGACAAACCTGGTGCACTCTTGTTCATACCACCTGCTGGGAAGGGTTCCTGGTGTATGTTATTGACTCTGACTGTGGTTGGGTATTATGTGAGAGAGTCCCAATTGGCCCAGACCAACAAAATACCAGAGAGAGTGCTAAAATTCAGCAGTGTGAATAGTGTTCCAGGGATCATACACCCCAGCCTTGTTTTGTTTAACAACTTGCAACTGCAGGAGATAAAAAGAGAAATTGTTAGAATGATCTCTGCTAATAAAATATAATAAGTTGCATTTCAAGAAAGAGAAGCAACTACGCACTGGATTCTGAACAACTAGAAAGTTAGTGGAGTTTTTCATACATAAGGAGGAAAGGGTGAGGATCCTGGGAACTACAGGCCTGTCAGCCTGACCTCAGTGCCAGGCAAGATTATGGAGCAATTCATCTGAGTGAGCTCACCGGGTATGTGAAGGACAACCAGGGGATCAGGCCCAGCCAGCATGGGTGCATGAAAGGCGGGTCCTGCCTGACCAACCTGACCTCCTTCTATGACCAGGTGACCCACCTAGTGGATGAGGGAAAGGATGTGGATGTTGTCTACTTGGACTTTAGTAAGGCCTTTGACACTGTTCCCCATAGCATCCTCCTGGAGAAACTAGCTGCCCATGGTTTGGATGGGTGTGCTCTTCACTGGATAAAGAACTGTCTGAATAGCAGAGCCCAGAGAGTGGTGGTGAATAGAGTTAAATCCAGCTGGCAGCCAGTCATGAGTGGTGCTCCCCATGCCTCAGTATTGGGTCCAGCCTTGTTTGATATCTTTATCAATGAGCTGGATGAGGTGATTGAGTCCTCACTCAGTAAGTCTGCCAATGACACCAAACTGGGCAGCTGTGTTGATCTGCTTGAGAGTAGGAAGGATATCCAGAAGGATCTGGACAGACTGGATTGATGGGCCGAGGTCAGTTTTCGGAGGTTCAAAAAGGTCAAGGTCCCGCACTTAGGTCACAACAACCCCATGCAACGCTACCGCCTTGGTGAAGAGTGGCTGGAAAGCTGCCCAGAGGAAAAGGACCTTGGGGTGCTGGCCAAGAGCTGGCTGAACATGAGCCAGCAGTGTGCCCAGATGGCCAAGAAAGCCAACGGCACCCTGGCTTGTATCAGGAATAGTGTGGCC